AGTAGGAGAAATATGTTACTGAGTAATCCTAGAATCTAACCAATTTAGTGAAGAATAGGGCTTTTTAAACAGGAGACTAAATTTGGTTTTCGTTTCGAAATGACCATTATGATTTTTTAAATTTTTTTTCCAAATAACACCCACGCCCATTTCTTTGTCTGAAGGCTTTCTTTATATTACTCAGGTCCTCGGCCAGGCTGTGTGTACGTGTGGGGGGATTGGGGTCTCGTTCGATCTTGAACGATATTCTTTCTATTTGACATTCAAGATTTGACCTTCGGTTTTCAAGGTCAAAAAAGGTAAAAAAGATATTTTTCAACTTGCTTCAAATTGACCAATTTTTTCAAATCATCTTCAAGTTATCAGAAGTACAAATCTGACTTAAGATTAGAGATTAACTAAAGTTACAGCGCTTCAAAGTCATCTTTGAAAATATTTTTTCGCCTCCTGTGTTATTTCAATGGGAGAAGTTTTTGAAAAACAATTTTGACTTTAAAGCCCTTTAACTTTGTTGAACCTGAAGCATTTCCATTTTTAGTTAGCAAATTCAATTTCCTGTCTAGCTCGTCTTTTTTGCAAGGACTCGGATGGGTGGATACTCTGTCATATGACTTTCGGCAAACCTACCATTTCTGCATTGGTTAACATGGGAGTGTCGACTTTCAAAGAGTCATCAAATTTATCATCAAAAAAATTGAGAAAATTTGGAGGTATTGGAAATAAAGTCAAATTACGTTTCCATCAATATTACAAATATTTTCTTCGCAGGTTAAGTAAATAAAAATTCAAAAGTAAAGAGGCGTTAACACGTAGTTCAATGGGGGAGCTAAGGTTGCCAAACTTATGGAGGGGAGTGTACTAAAAGCTGACTACGAGCATGTTGAAGTATTAAAGATTGCAATGGATGCAATCATTTTCATTGGAATCGATATAAAAGTATTCTGGCACTTACAATGACTAAGATGTGCAAGCAACATTTGTCATTTCGGGTAAAGGCCAAACAATAGGGAACGACAAACGGCATTCAGAATATAATAACATGAAAAAACACGCAGCGTGGGCAATGAGGGAATGAGAAACATCATTCAAAGGTGTATGGTTATGTGTCGTCATGGAAATAAAAAGAAAGCTTAGCATGTTGAATAGAAATGTAAAGGTTACATGTATCTCTATTCACACAAAATTATAACATGATTATATGTGAAACTGAGAGTGAAATATATTATTTCTTGGTTTGGCAATGACTCATTCCTTGCTGTAATCTAAATATAACATAAAAATACGAATACAACTAACTTTTGATTAGATCGAAAGATTTGTCCGCTGTGACGGAGCATGCTATTCTTCATAAAAACACTGAGAATGCTTCACGATTTATTTTTTAACTCATATGTTTCGTTATATCAAATAAAATTACTTACTCCATGCAATGGATATATCATTTGCGGGTAACCCTCACTTCTGTTTGAAGTCCAATAACGCTAGGAGTAGAGCTATTGAAAACGGCGCCAGAGTATCAAACTCTAAAATGTACCATTTCTTTTTTAACTTTTTAATGGCATGATATTGTGACACGATAATATTTACATATGTTTTCAGCATAACTCTGAATGTATTAATGAGATATTAATGCATTAGGTCTTTTTAATTTTTTTATAAAAAATAATATTCATATTTTTGGTCCGCTGTGACGGAGCATTTTCACAGTTCACATTTGCAACTGCTCCGTCACAGCGGACAGAAAAATTAAAAATTATTTTTTTTATAAAAGAATTAAAAAGACCAAATACATCAACATCTCATCTATACCTTTTAAGTTATGCTGAAACCATGTGTAAATATTATCGTGTCACTATATATCGTGCCAATAGAAAGTTAAACAAGAAATGGTACATTTTGAAGTATGATACTCCGGCGCCATTTTCAATAGCTTTTCTTCCAAGCGTAATTGAACTTCAAACAGAAGTGAAAGTTACCCGCAAATGATATATCCATTGCATGGAGTAAGTAATTTTCTATGGTGTAACGAAACATATGAGTTAAAAAATAAATCGTGAAGTATTCTTAGGGTTCTTATGAAAAAGAGCATGCTCCGTCACAGCGGACAAATATTTCGATACCAGCCCGTGATATGGTAATATCGGAAAAAGTACTGTTATATCGAGTATGTTAAAATGTATTGAAGAAGTTTCGACATGACCAGAATCGTGAACATATTTATTCACTCTTAAAATAAAATATTTAACAACGAGTTTAAAAAAATTCAATTTATTACTTAGTATTTCAGATTATTCATAAATTATCTTAACAGCTAGGCTTATACATCATTTTATATTTGAGAAGTTTTGATTATATAGAAATACCCGAAAAAGTATTGATACATGTACATTGAGTATGTTGTATTAAAAACAAAATCTTGACTACATTTCTTAGGAAACAAAAAGAAGTTTGGCATGACCGGAATCGTAAACATTTTTATTCACTCTAAAAATAAATTACTTGCCAACTAGTTTTAGTAAGTTAATGTATGCATACACAAATATTTCAGGACATTTACTTCAGTAAATTCAAATGTAATTACATTAATAGTAATTACTATGCTACATATACATGATGTATAGTCAATTAATTGTTTCATGGTGTGAATCACTTCAAATGAAGCCGGGCGTCTGTTATGCTAAACCTAAACCAAATTCAGCTACATAAAGACTATGTTTTGTGTGTGATAGTATTGAGGATGAAAAACATTTTTTTATTAACTGTACAAAGTATGATGCACAAGGGGAAACTTGTATTCAGAAGATGAAAGAAACAATTTTTTTAAATGAGCCAAGTTTTAATATGATCATGAACAAGCAAAATATCACAATCCAAAGGCATATACGACACAATTCCTTTAAAATTCTCATGCAAACCAACAATTAGAGTGCTATACTGCCAATCCCATGTGCATCTAGACTTTAACCAATGACTTACAATTGACAATTGAAGTCCTTCCTATATGTAGTTTTTAGTTAGATTAGTTTCTTAGTTTGTACATAATGTAGACTAATGTTTCATGCTTTGACACTTTTGTCAATAAAAGAAATATATTCAGTTATACAGGGCGTTCAGTAAGTAAAGCTAATTTTGCTCTCAAACTTTTATTTTTTGTCATTTATCTTTCAAATTTTCAGTGAAGAAGCATTTGACATTCTTCTAACTACCCTGAAAAATTAAATAAGATATGATGAATAATAGCAAAACAATGGTTGTCATAGTAACGTGAATACGGGTTCTGCGGAGCAATTTCTTACTTTAATAAAAATGTTATAATGCAATGAAATTGATTAAGATTAATGCTGCATATGTCTTTGTTTGCTATGGCTGAAATTCACGACAAATATAACAACAACATACACAAATATGATACCATGGCAACAGTAGTCTATGACATCACAGACAGATGATACAACAGATGGAATGATCCAGAATGATCCATCAGACACTGCTCCATGACATCATCAAAATCATGGCTGCCAGGATTGCCAATGGAAGCAAAATGAACAATGAAATGAAACAACAATTGAGAAGTAGCATCAGATACAATGTGTTGCTAGGGAAATCCAAGCAGGATACCATTAGGGATATCCAAAAAGCATATGGGGACAGTGTGCCTAAGTACACAATCTACAAATGGTATCAGAAATTCCAAAAGGCGAGAAAAACAACAAGTGATGAGCCAAGGTCAGGGAGGCCAAAACTTCTAACCAAAGAGGCTAACATAAATCATTTGAGGCAATCGTTAGATGAAGACCGCAGTATAACTGTAAGGGAACTCTCAGAACTAACCAATATCAGCCTAGGATGGGTACATTATCTGATTCACAACTACTTTGAACATGAAATAGAATGCTAACTTGAAAGTAGAAATGTGGAGTAGCCACAGAACTATGGTTGAAACATAGACAGGACAGAAACTAACGTTAACAAAATCTACTATGCTGTGAACTTATAAAATTGCTCCGCAGAACCCGTATTCGCGTTACTATGACAACCACCATTTTGCTGTTATTCATTATATCTTGATCATTTTGTCAGGATAGTTAGAAAAGTGTCTGATGCTTCTCCACTGAAAATTTGAAAGATGATAGACAAGAAATAAAAGTTTGAGAGCAAAATTAGCTTTACTTACTGAACGCCCTGTATAAGTCGAATGTTAATTAATTACAGAACGTCTATATTTCAATTGTATATCATTAAGTTATTTATTCTAGATATGAATGACTATGTCCGAGTTGGTGGACTATTTGTGTGTAATTTGAGAACTGTATCTTTAGATGTTTAGATCAAATGGCACAAATCGTTCTGGAATAAAGGATATAATATCTAAATATATTTCAAATCGCCACAATCAATTTTTGAATTATATACACAACAAGATATGCTAGATGATTCTTTAAACGGGAACTCTTAGTGATATGATGATAACACCACATTTCTCAATCATATCATCAGTGCCATCTTTTTTACTTTGTATATAAATTTGTCAAGTTTCCAATACGTTGTCATTCGTCCGAAGTATCAAAGTACAACAATGATAAACTATGACATCTCATTTTTCTCAGCATTGAGATGTGTCTTGTGATACGGAGAGATGCTTTAAGTATCAGAATGTTCAAAGGGCGCCATTTTCACAGTTTTACCCCGTTTCAAGAACGTAGTGATCGAGAGCTAGCTTCGTCAGACTCGAGGGTCTCTCCAACATTTAAGAAATGTGTCAAAAGATCAATGGTAAAGATTGATGATAGAAAATATTATGTGGCTTTGGAAATGAACAAAATTCATTGGAAGTAAAGGAGAACAATTCGCGTTTCTCGTTGACCGATGTGATTTATTTAGGAAATCTGAAAACATGTTTTTATACTTGCTTCTTATATCTTTCTTAATATTAGAGATATTTTTCATGTGTAACAACCGGAAAGAAAAAAGGCAAAACAAAAAAAAATTTGTAATGTTGACGAATTTGTAAAAATGAATATAACAAATGCGAAGATATAATATTCAGAAGAGTTTCGAATTAAAGAGTGAACAATTTGGAGACATAAAACTTAAAACATTTAGTATTCGAATAGCTTACTTTCTCTTTCTATCTTTTACTATCCGTCTGGTCACGTTCGTCTATATGCCGCGGAATATTTTGATTTTGAAGATGAAAATCCACATCAACATCGGGAATATAAATGTGCGTGGTGTTGCGCCGGCCGAGCTGTGTGCTGACTTCGTTGTACTTGACACTGCGCGAACTGTCGCTGTTGAACTATTTTGGGCCACCGTAAAATTTGTCCTTTCTGGTACTATGGGGACATTGTACTCAATGCCACTAAGAACCGCGTGATTAGACAGATTGTGAGAAAGAAGAAAATCGTCCAATTTCCCTTTCAATTGATCAAACTTATCTACCATTGTTTTGTTGATTGTTTCCGAAACATTAGCTTTGTCTTGAAATAAAACATCGAATGTGTACGTGCTGGTCAGCCACTTGCTACCTCTCTTGTAGTCGATAGTATCGAAAATTATGCGAAGCGGTGGAAAAACTTCCAATACAATTTGTGAAGTGATATAAGATGAAATGAATGTTGACAAGTTTGAATAAAGTAATATCTTACATGTGATTGCTACTTTCACAAGAATGTCATGTATGACACATCTATCTCCAACGAGTTTCAAGTTGCCAAGGCATCGTTTCAATCGGCATTGAATGAGATCATCAGAACACGCAAGATCCACTTCAGCTACTCTTGTGTAATGTTCGTTCGCAAGAGTTTTTACATTGATGGTGTCTCCCATAACGTCCATTAAAATTTGAAACGAAAACATTTGGAAATCGTCCTGTGACTTCCTGTCGGCGGCAAATTGGTCAAGACGACAGAGTTCAGAGTATAGTAGCGTTCCCACTTCCCGATTCAGATTACATTTCCAACAGTAATAATTTCGATGGACCGTAAAATCCTCGATTGGGTCTAAACCGATGGTTTGACAGAGTGCTTCCAGACGCGTGTCCTCACAAAACTTACACATGGAGTTAGTGTAAATGCAAGGACGTGAAGACCCTAGGGCACTCTCGTTTGTGTCCTCGTTGAAGGGTTCCAAGTATTCGGATTGACACCCTCGACCAATGTTTTTTAAACCCTGTAACAATCCCATGATTCCAGGAATATTCAAGTTTCCAACGTTTAAACTGTTCAAGTGGTAACCATTTACGCACTCGATTTTCAGTCTCCAAAACATCGCTGCTTCACCGTAGTCACACTCGGCGCAATATTTGTTCTTGTAATGTGTACCTTTAATGACATCGTAGCAAGGTATATTTGAATAGGGCTCACCTCCACTGTGGCACTTTTTCTCCAAAGCAGAACCCTTAAAGTCCGCGTGACAACTGGCTTTTAGGTACACACTCACGACTCCCTGAACACGCGTACATTGGTAGTCTGAGCGTTGTGTGTCATGAACAGAAAGAGGGGCGCACCTTTCATCACCGATATCAATGTAGGTCTGGTTCGTGTCGACACCATGTTCAGTAACCCTACAACCTTGGCATTGTTGTGCATAATCTTTACAACAGTCACCGTAATGTTGACATAACTCATCACAGTGGCAGTAAAAGCTCGTCGCATTTTCCATTGTTATTTTATCACCACAACGCTCTCGACAAGATCTCTTTGTATCATTACAGTTTAAATCTATTTCGACCGAGTTGCATGTTTCGTTTTGGATTTCCCTTTTCTCTCTCAAAGCAGGGGAATAAACATCAGATTTCGTATCGCGTGAAAACAGCGTTTTGCGTTCTCCTGAATTATTTTCTAAAATGTTGAGCTCTTCACCATTCTCAGAAGTTGTTTTGCTCTGAGTTTTACTCTTGATCTGGTAACTGTACTTTTGATACTGTGGGCATACAAATAAAAAGTTCATAATCCCCAACATCAGGCTTGCGTTCACGACAAATCGGAACATCGTGTTGTCATTACTTTGTCGCTCTCCAATATGATTAATATTGAGACTCGAAGAACTATTTATTGTACTGTGAGGGAGCATATCAATAATGGTATTTCGCTTGATGTTGACCCCTCTCTCCAAACATGGTCCACCTCCTTTAAAGAGAGCTTCGTCTAGTTTAAAATACTTTTATAACTGCACAATTAGTCAATAACATTCACGGTGTAGAACCCAAACGCTGCAACATTCACCCTGGAGCGTTTACTTATTTGCCTTACATGTCATACGTAATGGTGACATATTATTCAACATTCGATGAACAATATCCTGAGCAAAGATCTTATTTGTCATCTTCTTTTGGTAAACTAGTTTTAGCTTGATCAAAGCCCTGAAATGCAGATCTAACGAATCTGAACTAGACGAATTCTCCTAGATTAGTATTTATGTGAAAAGGTCAAGCTTTTTATTAAACTAGTCGATCATAAACTCGTATTATCTTATTTGGTGAAATTCTAGTCCAAACCCATCAATTGTTCTCAAGAAATCGCCTGTTTTCTTCGAAACGCTCCATCGATTATGAACACATTTGTAAAAACGTTCTTACCACTTTACTGCAAATGAAAAGAGAAATCAAGTGTATATATTTCCAACACATATCTAGACTGCCGCAGCGTTTCTGTCTCAACGTGTACACCCGACCGCAGCGTTTCTTGAATATGAGAATGTCATCATTTTTAAACTTGATTTCCGGGGACATTTAATTACAATTATGATAATGTTTGGTATTTTATATCTTTGACATTTGACCAAAGTATAATTTGATGACCTAATTTTTCCTTGTTTGGATACGGCAGTGAAACGCTCCGATCTGAATATCGGAGCGCTTTGGTTATACATAGTGACCCAGGCTATGTAACTGAGTTCATAGGGAATTAACACGTACATAACTGAAATATTGACATATTGAATGTATTGTCAAGGAAATTGCCATTGTTTAGAAATGCAATTCATGACACTCAGCCTATAACAGTGTGAAATGTTGCTAAATTGGAAATCTTCTGATGAAGAGATGGCATAATGATTATTAGCAATAGGTGGTCAAACGGACAGGTTTCAGTTGCATTATGTAAAATATGTTATAAAGAATCAGACACTTTCTCTGATGATATTGAACTGTGAAGGTCCTAATGTGTTGAGGTCAAATGTTTGAAAAATGTTTATATATCTTCAAACTGGCACAAAATTATGATTCTAGGACCAATGTTGTTGCAGGGGAGATTTTTGATTTTGATGAAAATAAGCAAATTGCTGTTTCCATTCACAAAATGTACAGGTACATAAACAGACCAGATACTGGCCTATAATAATGAATTATACAGGGTGGGCCAAAAAAACCACCCCCCTAGCCGATATTCTTGATAAATATTCATTTTTTAACATGTACACCAACAATGATATATCATTTTAAAGATAATTTAATTTGCAACAGAATGATATATGATAGAACAATTTTAAACAACCCTGCCTCGAGATATAACCATTTATGTGACATGGGGGTCAAAAAACACCTTTTCAATTTTCATCGATGTTGCGAACAATAGCCTATTTCTACCAAATTTTACTGTTCAGTTAAAGATTGCAACATTGTCATGAGTCTTTCATAATTGGATATTAAATATTGTTTTCATTCAGTTTTTGAACCAATAAACATGTGTATGCTTATAAAACAAATTAATTTCTTCTTCAGTCTGTCCAAATATGGCTTAATAGACCCACCCCCCGGACCCATCCTCTGATCAGATTATTCGCTTAAGACGCGGAAGCCATTGGTTGATGGCATAATTGATGGATGTATGCGGAAGTACCATTCAACTGCTAGTTATTCTTTCTTTTAGTTCCTATATATCCCTGATAGGCTGGGTATCTTTAAATACCAACTGTTCTAGATGTCCCCAGGTATGGTAATCAACATTATTGGCATCTGGACTGTCAGTATGCCATTTGTCCGGGCTAGAGATGGTGTCATTTCGAATCTCCAAAACTCCAGGGTAGCATTGGACCTGTGTGATGAAGCACTTTCCTATCAGAAAATGAAATTTCTTTCACATGTTTTTTATATCCTTGAGGAGTCCTTTTTTAACACCTCATGTCATTAACATTCAGAGTATATTTTTGCTCCTGGTTCAACAAAAACAGGGCCTATATGGTCTTTCCTTTTTGGGAAACACCGAGTGGACACCACTACCCTTTCAGAAAAATGTCATCTCAATTTGAGTAGCCTTTTATCGCTAATGTCCCTATTCTTGCTTACTGATATATAGAGTCTATCCTGTTTATTACATGTATAGTACTTGGGGCATTTAGAACAGTTGGTCTATGAAGATCACTAGCCAATCAGGGATGTAGACAAACTGAAAGAATGAATAATTAGGAGTTCGATGGTACTTCCGCAGAGATCCATCAATTATACCAATGGCTTTTGCGTCTTTAGCGAATAATCTGATCAGAGGATGGGTCCGGGGGATGGGTCTATTAAGCCATATTTGGACAGACTTAAATTCAGTAATACGCATGTTCATTATTCCCTTACAAAGCGTTTGATTACGTCATCATTTATTGCACAGCTTTATACGTCCATACGTGTGACATTCTTATAAATCTTCGTCTATACTTAACTTCGTATTCCCATATCTGTGATATACCATTTTTGTCATATTGTGAAATTATTTAGTTAACAGTGGTCTGTTCGATTTTTGGTATTTTTGTGATAATCAATGGAAACCAATTGCCCCTTTTGTAATTTTCATTTTACATCTAATAAATTTCATTTAAACCATTGGGAGTATTTGGCTCATAATGCACCACTTCCTTTAACCATTTGAAATCCAGCGAAAAAACACTGAAAATACAAAGATCCGAAGGGAATAGATTAATGGAGTGATAGTGAAAAATGTTGATTTTAGTGGAATCAAAGTAAATGGTTATACTGTCACAGGAGCATGTGCCGCCATTTATACTGTACTGGTTTACTGTTCTCGATGGGGTAGGGAACTGTATTGTTATCTTTGTAGATGCCTTGTTCCACCAAGAACAATGTATCTTCATTCTCTAGTATAGTAACTATTTATTTATAAACTAAATTTGCCTCTCTTTATAGTTAATATATGCAATTCAGAAAAAGTGGAAGGTCGACCTATTCAGACTCCTCCCTAGAAACATACTGGAATTCTTGAAATTCTCTTAATTATCTTATTTTGTCTTATCTTTTGGGCGATATTGTATTTGATATTGTAAGGAATAGATTGGTAGGTCAATTATACACGTTGCTTGTAATTTTGTCACCCCCTATAGATCAGATTCTGCCTTTAATCAATCATCTGACTGCCTTAATAAATGAGAAATTTAAGCCACTTGGGGTAAAGTAGAGGTACATGTATATAAATATGAAACACCACATTCTCTGATTGTATGGCGCTCGGAAGTTAATAGAATATCTTTAATTACATAGGTAAGTGATAGTTCTAGTCCATCATGTCATTGTTAATTTGTTATTCAGTGGCATGGAATTACACAATGGGTATAACATTATTTTGATTCAGGTGCAACCCGATGTGCAACCACGATTGGGATTTTAGAAAAGGCGCTTACAGTAAAACCACCAGAAACCCAGTAGAGAGGTTTCGCAAAACGAATTAGCTAAAACGTATCCGCATCCGTATCTCGTTACGTTTACGGATACGTATTTCGATAATTTTCGTTTCGCAGCTCGTTTTTTGAAGTACATAATTATAAACGCATCTCAATCCGTGTTTAATAGTAGTGAAAATCAGAGTAAAATAAAAGGCTTCATCTGCACTAAGATTTCAAAACACCATTGAAAGTGTCAGCTTTCAGAATCACAACTCCAAAAGTATTTTTGGTGAGTGCAAAAATACATATTAACCCTTTCATCCCTAAGGTGTCATTTATAAATTTCATGACATCAATTTCAAAATGAAGAATATATTTTAGGCCAGAAAAGATTATTTCTAGATTTACAATAACCAATTCAGTGTCAAATTATACTTTTGGGAATATTCAAAGGTTTGAAAACAGATAGGCTGAATGGTGGTCATTAAGTGACGTGCAGTGACTGCATTATGCCACAAAATGCGTAAACATTTCTAAAATCACTTGCCATACTGCACATGGACTTTTAATTTCATGTTTTTGCAGCTGTATATTTTGGTAATAATTCAAGATCAAATATGTAAATAAATAGCGACTTGGGCAAGGCCAAGGCATTCGGAAACCATGCGTTTTCACTAAAGCCGCCCCCTTTCCTCATTAATGGGCTTTAGTTGAAATGCCTCATATAAACTAAGGAGGGGAGCAAAGTAACATATTTGATAATAGAAAGCGACACAAATATATCGTTTATGCAATAAAAGTATGTTTTGTATGAGAAATCAACAAAAAATATATTATTATAGCGTGCACGGACCTGGGGACAATTCGGGAAATACGGGCTAATCTCAGCTTTAATCGTTAATATCTGCCTTATTTAAAAAGCTAACTATATGCATTATATATCATTTTGAAGTATTTTTTATTCGCATTTCACTGAAATTATTTTTCCTTGAAAAGTGTGATGGGATCTACCATATTTTTTAAGTTAAATGTACTCCGACATCGTCAAATACGCTGTAAGGCGTAACATTTCACGCTTACACGGTTCGTTGAAATCAGGATAACTTTTGAAATACTGATCAGAATTTTACCAAAATTTCATATTTTATTCATTGAAACATGTGCTTTTATGACGTCACAATTGCCTAGCGGCTACAGTTCAAATCGTCTTATATGAACGCTTTTAAGATTTTCAAAATTGTGTAAGGTTTTGAAGGCGAGGGAGACAAGCAATAAGTTCACCTTTATTTAACCTTCTATTTTAGGTCTGATTTCAAAAAAAATTTAACTGCACAATATTGTCATGGCGAAATTTACAAAACAATAACCGATTTCTTTATTTTTCAAATAATAAGAGAATAAGAGTTGCTTTTAGAGACTTGAAAAAATGTAACGCATCGATTTTTTACCACAAATACCATACATATCAATTTTTACTAACGCCCCGAGTGGATTTCCTGACCGTTTTTCAAAAATC